TATTCATTACATCTACTAAGCCTCACTGTGCAGCCTCCAGAGACACTATTGCCAGGTGGCTGGTTTCTGCTATTAAGTTTGCGAATTAAGACTGGCCCACTGCTTCTGATGATCAGTGTCAACGCCATATGTGTGCTCATGATGTTTGGGCGGTCTCCTTCTCATGGGCTTATTTCAAAGGCATCCCAATTTCAGACATTTGTAAAGCTGCTTGTTGGAAATCCCCCTCAACATTTACCTCTTGTTATCTCAGAGATGTTTTGCAAGGGGATCATTCTCACGGACTGGCCGTGCTCAAGACGGGATCTCAGTAGCTCCAGTTACGGCCGTCCCTCCCCTGCAAGTGGGTGCACTCAAGACATTTACGTGTACATGGTGAGTTGTTCTTTGTGCTTACCTCTTGCAGTCCTTTGCTAATTTGCCATTTTTGTTCATTGCGGGCTGTATGTGACTCCTTCTGGGGCTAAGGGTTGTCAGTGCGCTCTCACCTTCCCGCCGTCCTCTGGTTCAGTGCTACTCTGCATCTCTGCATATGTATTGGTAATCTGCATAGGTTGCAGGCAGTAGACTCTCCCCCCCCACCTAGAGTGGGACAAGTCTACTCCTGCACACCTACGAAATTATCAATCTCCCTCCCTCCTCCCCTCACAACCTCAGTGCACTTTGCAAGTCAAAAAAGAGGAACAACATGGCAGCCGCCTTTGCAGGAGTCGAGCGAGTGAGGGCACGCTGCTGGTGATCGAGAATTTAGCAAATGGAAGTAATGGACTAGGAAAATGCATATGTATTGGTAATGTGGTCGGTATGCAGTAGTAGACTCGTCCCACTCTAGGGAGAATTTGCAACACGGCCTGCTATTTTATGGAGTGTGACGTGACACAAGACAGACGATGCACAATGCTAGATATGGAATTATATGGTATGCAGAGGCAGTGCTGGCAGGCACACGTGTATGACGTGTGGTAAGTAGCGATCAAATACAAATCGTGCTTCCTTGGCCGAGCTGTCCGGTCCATGCAGCGCGATCGTGGGGATGTGCTCACCACAACGAGCCGCGCCTGCATGGCGCAGTTGTTTTCTTGGATTACCATAAATAAACACTGGTAAATGTCGGAGAATAAATATTGAAAAGTTTTCTGGATGTTGAGTGATTAAACGGGAGTCCCTAAGTCATGAAGCACATGAAATGTACATCACTACATGTGTGTATTACAACAAACTTAACTCGCTCTGCTGTGGCGACATGGGTTATTTGCCCTCTTTTTATTTATTTTTGTGGTTTAGTTTGGCACAACAAAAAATCAACAATGAAATACTACATGTAGTATTTTGTTACTGAAAGGTTTCTTTCGATCGACAAATAAAATCAACTGCTTAAATTGTACGTGTAACTTCATGTAGCAAATCTCATCTTTTCGCCAATTGTGGGTTTGGTGCGACATTTCAGGTCTGTTTTCACTTGGGTTTCTGATGACATGTCACTTTCTGTGGTCACATGGTTATTGGAAAAAGTCAGTTCATGGACTGTCCATGAATGGGCATGCAGTAGTAGTCAGGATGTCGCGGTAGGTGTAGATGCAGTTTGTACTTCGCGATGCGGTGTGCATGCATGAGGTACCGTGGCAGTTTTTGAAGGGATTTGGTAGGCCCTAATATTTTTTGATCGGCGTCACAAAAACGTCGAGCTAACCGGATACAAGGCATTTATTCTGAAATCACGGTACATACATCTGCCAATACATGTAAATGTATTTCACATACGTGGATACATGTACATGAGCACATATGCGGTGCACATGTTGAGCATCCATCCAACTTCCAAGGGATTAATTTAAATGCCACAATGGCCAGCTTTGATTTTGCCTGTCGCATTGTTTTTTGCTCAAAACTGAGAAATATACTGCGTTGACATTTTAATGCTGTATTCGTCAAGTAATCTGAATATTCCTGAGAATTGAAGAACTTTTCTCTCAGACTGATTTTTCTCCACTTTCCATATTCAGCGATGTGCACGTTTGAAACCACAGAGAACAAGAACTTCTGATGTCTACATATACATGTACATGCAAAAATACTACTTAGTGAAGAAAGCTTGCAAAATTATTTCCCCACTACCACAGACAATCTGTGAAAATCTTTTCCCACTTGTGAGAAAAAGTGCGAAAATCTTTTCTCACTTGTGGGAAAATCTTTTCCCACTTGTGGGAAAATCTGTGAAATTTTTATTCCCATTTGTGGGAAAAAGTGTGAAAATCTTTTCCCACTTTGGGAAAATCTGTGAAAATATTTTGTCACTCGTGTGAAAAGGTGTGAAAATATTTTCCCATTTTGGTGTTAACTTTCAATCGCAATGTACTATACAGGGCAATTTTCAAGATTTGTAGTTTTCAAAATTCTTTAAAAATTCATCAATTCATTTAACGGATGTTTACACCCACATGAAGGACTCTTTGGTGGCTACTCTAGCCTGACAGGTAAAATTCATTGACTCCTGTATATTTAAGCCAGGCCTGCAGCTTTGTAAAAAGACCCAGATTGTGTAGGGTTATGTAAGATTTTTTTGTTCCCAAAACTGGCACAGTGCACTGCTGGCATCTTCTCAATACTGGCCAGATTAGCATGCCGCAGTGTTGTGTGGCTCATCGCTGCAGTGGTGGAGCACTTTTGTCCCCGGTGGTAATCGGCTCACTCTAAATACCCCAAACCATGGTATACTGTTTCAAAACAAGGCTGGATTATCTCCACTATTGAGAGTGAAAAAAATGTCGGTAATGCCCAGCAGCTTGGTCTTTTGTGGTGAGCACGGTCTTTGGTTTCAAGGCCCAGCTCTTTTGTCCCAGTTTCGGGCTCCCCAGCTTCGTGTATAAAGCGTAGGTGCTCAAAAATGGGTCCCCTGGCACCAAGTGGTTGAAATTTATTGGCTTGGTAGGTTGGCGTTTATGGTCATGCTGGAGCTTTGTCTGGTTATTGGGCGATGGATCCCGAACAATGTGCAATTTCAAAATACTCAATAATCTCAAAATAGGTCATTTTTCATTTTTAAATTCAGGCCTAAGAGATTATGATTGTTAATTGCCGCTCTTGACTCTCATATCAGTTTACTTTATTAAAAAATACTTTTCTGAGCCAGTGCGTTCTGGAAAGTTCTCCATCTCTAAAAACGTAATGTATTTGATATAACTTTTAAAATGGGACAAATTAACAGATACAAGTAAATTCATGCTAGCAACAGAAATGTGCCAAAGCCTTGCTGGATGATACCTTCTCCCCTAGACACGGAACTGCCGGGAGTCCCTTAACTTCTATTGAATTTTGTGAACACCTTTTGTCTATTGTAAGTCCACCTGTTAGAACATAATACATGCTGAAAAAATGGCCAAGTTTTGTACAAATCATGAATTTTAGCTTTTAGCCAATGAACGATTGTCCAGCACTGTCTCATGGCACGCCTCAGCAGATGTGAGGGGCAGCAATATGCTATGATACAATCGTAACAACTGGACTGGTAACAAACCTGTTCAGGAAGTTTATTAGAAATTAAAAAAGGAGATTGCACAGTCAGTGAATAATTAAACAATAAAAATGCTAACGCACTGGAAAACATCTCCAAGCTGCGTTTTGGAAAATCACAACGTCTGAAGAAATACCCAGCAGTGACGCCTGCACACTTGATAATGACGGTCGACTGCAGTGGAAATGATGATGAAAACGTCTGTATTCATGAAGCTCCATGCTCTCATCTTGATATGTATGTGACCTGGTTTGAGCAAACTGGTATGTTGTTGAATGGTCAGACTTGACATCTATGATCACTCACGGTGGAAAAATTAACTTGATTTTCTTAAAATAAACTGGTCATACTCCTGTGAAAGTGGAATAGTTAAGAACTGCTTCCACAGGTGATAGTGATGAGCAAACAGCAAGCAAAGCTGAAACTTTTCTATTTATGTTTCCTTGCTTTATGGTTGAAGGTGCTCGAAGTTGTTAAAAACTGTTAACAATATCCATACCACATATGTAGACTGGTTATTATTTCCTACATACTAAGTCTCTGGGATAGAGACCAGTCAAGTTGGTATGGGGCACAAACGCAGTTGTGATAAATGGACTTAATATGACATTATATACATATATAAGTAATCTGCTGGACCTTGCCTGATTTGATCGTGTGTGAATGAGTTACCTGCAAATTAACATGCAGGAGTCCATCTTAACTTAACATGCAGGAGTCCATCTATGATATTGGCTGCAACTGTAATTTATTGGATTGTGCATAATTTCAAGCCACAACCAAGTAATTTGGACAAAACCTATTCCTTCTTTCACATACTTGGGTCTGAAAAATGCAATTACTTAAATATTCAAGTGGGTTTGGGGAACAAAATTGCTGATACAAGACATTCACTGGCCAACCTCATAAGACTTCCCACTTAATGGTTCAGTGACATGTACGGCCAGTGACCTAATAGTAGGGCCCCAAATCAAGCATCAAGTTGGACCAAGAGAGGACGCTATATCTTAGCAACAATATGAATACTCCTAAATAACATGGCTCTTTTCTATCGACGAGGGGGGTGCTTCAGCTCAAGGCAGTGCAGTTATTCATTTCCAGGTGGACAAATACTTTGTGCAGGTTATGAGGTGACAAAGTGATATTCCTTTTTGCAATTATTTTTTATTCTATTTTTGTTTTCCTTTAGATGGAATCAGTATGTTTGAATAATGTGCAAACTGGAGGTATTAAACTTGCAGCATAAGTTCAGCAATTATTCTACATTGGTGAAATATTGAAATCAAAGCATTAAAAGAGCTTTGATAGGAAACCACATCAACTTAATATTTCAAAGAATTGAGGTTTGGCCCATAGGAGTAGGGAAATGGACACAATGGCTATATGATGTAAAATCATGGCTAAAATCTTGTAATAAGAACTTGAAGTCCTGAGCTTAGAGATTTTTGTTTGTTTACACATTCTTGCTTATAATCTATCTCTTTTAAAGGGGAAATTTGACCATAATCTTCGAAATCGAAATGGTGATACCCCACTGATGGTTGCATGCTTGTACGGAAAAACAGAGGCAGTTGAATTTCTTCTCAGGTCAGCCATTCAAATTGTGGAGGAGAGAGAACAAGACATAGACTTGTAAGTCATGGCTTCGATGTGTTTTCATTCTTAAAATATTTTTCTGTCTAAATTCAGTGTTTGTGATGAAATCACTCCCAACACAGTGAACTTATTATGAAACAAAGAAAGTAGAAGCTCTTTTCCCCAAGTGAAACTTGACTTTGCGTGACCAACACTCTGTTGGCCTGCTGGTTTGGAGCCAGGTCCATCACATGGCATTGCAGATAGACCTGGAAAACCTGCTACACTTCAGTAAGTTAGGAGCATCCACAAAGGCACCAGTCATTTAGTGGGGACCTGCTGACAGCAAGTAAGATCTGCCATGCTGGAACTTTGTAAGGAAACTGGGCAATGCCATTCAAATGAACGCAGCATAGTAAATTGTTGTAGTGAAAACAATTAATACTATGGGAAGTATTCTAAGTTCCAGACACAGTGGCAGATATGGATATTTTACAAGAAGGATGGCTCATGTCTCAACGCTTTCAGAAATCAAGGGCCTTAAGCAGTAGGGCAAGACTTGCAACATTGTATTAAGAAAAGAAAATTGCACCGTTGTCAATAGCTCTCATTTGACATGATAATCACTTTTTCTTCTCTCACCATTCCAATAGGTCATTGCAAAGTAAAGGTGAACAGAATGATTGCTTTGTTGATTCTGGAGCATTTGATGGAGTCAGTCCTGGATATCCCAGCTCAAATAACAGAAGCTTTGTAAGTGTCGACAAATATTGTGCAGAACAGGATACATGGTCCTCAGTGACTGATCTGAGTGATCAAGATAGTGAACCACATGGACATCCAGAAAAACAGTGCAGAATGTTTTCATCTGACCTGAAAGGTACCATGAGAAGCTTGTCATTTTTGTCAAAGTTCAGGCAGTCTTCCCTATTTTATTGGTTGCCATAGCAAATTGATCTATCAAATAAACTTGTAACATTTTGCTTGCTAGCCTCTTGTTTTTGTGAAGTTTGTTTTCCTTTTTTCTAGAGGTGTTAAACATGTTGTTCGTACATCCCACTTTGGGTACTTTCATGAATCCAATCAATGTCAAACTCACTTGAAACACCTACTCGAGGTTGTCTTAAATAGTTGAGCCATTATATGTATCTTATCTTACATAACTTCACACACATGTATTTCAATTTACTATTTTCATTGTCAAATTTCCTACCTATCCAAGTGGAATTTCAATTGGGGGGGGGCTTTTAGAAGTGTGTGATAGCCTCAGGTTTTGATTCAAGCAGAGTCTTTCTCCAGGTCAAAGCATTACCAGAGAAACCCTGATCCCACTCTACAGTGCCCTTTGACTGGGTTTCCCCCATGAACCCTGTTGGTGGAACTGTGAGTTCTGCTGTGTTTATCTAACTTGTAAAGTATTACTCTATATGCATTATCTCTTAGTGGGTGCCAAACTGTTGCTGAGAATTACTTTTCCATAGTACCTTACAGCCCACTTGTCATGACACTCCCTCTTTTTTTCAATTGCCCGCTAGCAGACTTTTTTCAAAAGCTCTCATTTTATCACTTCTTTTTTTTGGGTCTATTTGTCACCATTCCGGATTGCTATTATGCATTGTAGCATGTTTTTTCACCCTTAAGGGTTTTTTTATCTTGTCATTTGGAGTATTTTCAGGTGAGTTGTCTTGTCTTTTAGGAGGATTTGAGTCTGTATTTTGTGTGTGCTATGATTGAATGAGTGACATTTTCCAACTCTGTGTTCTGATATGCTCCCCCCTTAATAACCATGGAGTGACACACCACTTTCTGTAAAATAGCCTATTGCTGTTTGATTCCAAGAGTGTATATAGTCCTCAAACTACTGCCACTTAATTACAGCTGTCCAAATACTACAGTGGAATGCCGCTATACTGAACACCGCTGTACCGAACATTCAGCTGTACCAAACATCATCCTTGGCTCCCAACAAGTCATGCACAGACCCTACCGAACACTATTCAGTTGCCGTTTGTAAATCCCGAACGTCAACATGATAAAACAGTCGTTTGTTGTTGTTGTTGTTGTTGTTGTTGTTGTTGTTGTTGGAAAGTGACAAGTGGCCATTATTTCCCCAAGGATTGAATAGACACTGGTTTTGTGACTCCAACACAATTGGGTGCGGAAGAAAACTGCACGCACGCACACGGTGGCATTGCACGAACAATAGTCTAAGGAGGGCGCCGCTGATACACAAATCAATTGAGATTTGCCACAGCATGCATCAGAGATCGATCATGAGTCGTAGTTTCATGACTTTTAGGATAAACTTGATATCAATTTCTTGACTCAAGTTTAAATAAAAAACACAAAATAATTAACAGATACATTTCTAGAACCTTAAACTTGAGTGCAACAGCAAAACATCACGAAAACAGCGAGCCAAGGTATCACAAGAGGGTGCACTTTGGTTAGACAATAGAGGGCGCTATGAGTTTTATGAAGGACTGTTATGGTTTGTCATTTTTCAGTATTTGAAGACAAGTATAATACTTTGTTCGGAAAAAGTTGGTTTTGCATAGAATAATACCTTTGGCAAGTGGTTTTACAGATGATTGTTTCAATTTGCAGGTTTTTCTTCTTCAGTCAACCTCCAAAGTAGATATTTGGCAAAGTGCAACAGCTATGATGCAGAATCACTTGATTCAGGTGATGACACATACAAAGGTGATAAAACTTTTTATGCACCCCTTTTACATAAGTGTTGTTATATTTACATTAAAATGAGTAACAGTAGTCAAAACACAAACACCAAAAGACTTTAAAAGTGTTTTTTTGTTGTGTTGCAAAAAGATAAAAAAATATGTTTTTCACGGTACAGCAAGGAAAAGCTCAAATGTCCAGTATGATTAAAATGCTGTGGAATGGGAAAAATTTGTCAAAGCCTGAATATGTTGTGTTTCTTTTGTGTAGCATATTAAATGTAGCACAAACCAAGTTGCAAGACTCTTAACCCCTTGTCAATGGGAATTTCTTTCCGAGAGCCGACTCCAAGAATTCCAGCCTCGCTTGGCCACGAAGGCCACCTACCAAACTGTGGCCCTGCGTGCTCTGCAGGCTTTGAATTACACAGTGAAAAGGCTCATTGTTCGGTGGCATGCTCCTCTATTCACGCTTTCACATTCCTGTTGTCTCTTTTCAAAGTGGGGACTTTTGTAAAGCTGGCGATTATGATGCAAATTCGGTCATTTCATTTGTGGGCTACACACAAAGCCCAATTACCATATATCCAAGAGCCAGGGTCTGCCTTCTTTCACCATGTTCGCTCGAGTGTGGGCCAAGAATAATTGCTGAAAAGCGGGCTGAGGATCTCAATTTTTATGGCGGGTCTTGCCGCGTCCTGACGCGAAGGGGTGAACAAAAAAAAAAGAAAAGAAAAGGATTCTCCAGCAAAGTGTTTTCCAAGAAACTAATATAAGGCCTGTAGAAGACTATAACAAATATTTAAAAGTAGTTTCCAATATTTAAAAGTAGTTTCCACTTAATTGCATTGATTTTAACACTTATAAGCGTAGTTTGTGACATTTGGTTTTACATTTTTGCCCACTATTATGATGTTAGAAAGACAACACAGCTTTTTACTTGATTTCAGAAAATGAAAAGTATGTATGACAAATTGTTAAAAAAAATATTCTCAGAGATAAAGGTAAATGTTTTTCCCTACAAAATAGCTATTTTTTTTTTAGATTAAAAAGAACATAACCCCTTCTATAAAATTTTATAGTATTTATAGAACTTTCAGCATACTTTCCACTTTTTGGGGGGGATCATTATCTACCCCTACAGCTTTTGAAGAAAAAATATTTTACTTAGGGCCGGCGACCAGTTAGACCCGGTTTGAAAAGGGCCCCCCCCCCCCGGTAAGCTCGCCCTGTTGCAAAAACCCCTTTCATACCAGCCTGGGAGGCTGGAGTGGTTGTTGATCTCAAACTTCTCCATCCTGGGGTCTATTGTTTGCAAGTACTGGTACATGTAATCTATCTGAGAAGGAACCTGCTTGTGGTTTTTAATCCTTCAGCTCTATACAATGTTTACACTAATCCGCTTAGACCTCTATTCATCTGTGGAAGCAAGGTGGGGGAAGCCTTTCATCAGGGACTTTGAAAGTCGATGTGCAGACAGGCCTGATACCGGCCTGGTGTAGCCTGAATACCGGGCAGGCATTATACAGGGTGGGCTACCGGGGGGGGCCTTTTTCAACCGGGTCTAAATGGTCGCCGGCCCTTAAAAACTAGATCAGGTTTGCGGTTTCTGTGACGGACAGAGCATACGTCCAAAACATTGAGTACCAACGGTTCTTGCCGAACACCACATACTAAAAAAGAGATATATCCATGGTGCAACCCCAAACCTATCTAGTTTACTTGCTATCTATTTTACTTGGGAACTCCACCATGAAAGCTTCATATCTTATTTTACTTGAATTCGAGTAATGAATGTACTCTTTGCATTGTTATAGTGTTTTTACTAGGTAAGTGAATACCACGTTCCAACTTAATCCATATCATGTTCAAACTTACCCCCTGGACACATGATTCAGTGGTGTTCAAAGTGAATTATAACCATCAAAAGTCTAATATTTTTACAGGCCACCTTTGTATATAAAACATAAACATGCACAATGCATGGTCAATAATCTGTCTTTGGTTGGTATCAAATTTGAGAAAGTACACTGATTTCACAAATCAACATTCTGCCTACTTTCACATTGGCTTTTATCCCCTTCCCAGTATGCTTGTCCTATGCAATGTTCATGTAATGTTCTCTCTCCATGCAAATTATTCTGTTAATATTTCTTACATGTATGTTGAAAATTCAGATATTTGCATGTATGTGAGCTTCCCTTTATGAGCTGCACAAATAAATAAAAGTATGTTACACATGAAACCTCTTGTCTACAGTGCTCTACCTACCCAAACAGCTACTACATATGCAAATTTCCCATGCACTTATTTATTAATTGCTGAAAAGATTCGATCAGCTGTGTGGTACCCTGACCTCCCACAATGCAATGCGTCTCGCCGCTATGATTGTCCTTCTTTTCTTAACACTGTAACATAACAGATGTGTCTTTCTAGGCATCTTTGATTTATTGAGTTCCGTTTTCACCACACTGTTCTGTGTCAATTTGATCATTCATCCTTCCTTTGTGAATAAAGTATTACCTTAATTTTCACACTTCATGTGGTCAGAGTGTTTTTCTGTTGTATATTTTGTGTTCTTTTTCCTCTTTATTTTCCTTGTATGTGCACCCTGCAGGTTGTTTACTGTTGGTACTACGAGGTTTGTCCCAGCTACACCAGGGATCTCACAACTGATAGTAATAAATGGATTTCACATTAGCGCCGTCTGCGCATATCTGCATCAAAATCGAGGCTCTCTATGTTGAACTTCATCGCATGCGCCCGCCGCTGCGCCGACACAGTACATGCAGTATCCGGTTCGTTTAAACCACGGCCACTGCACAAGATAAACGACTGTCGCAGGCACGTTAGTTAGCGGTAAATTGCCGTTATTTTTTCGTTTGATTTCACATTTTGAGTCATCCTGATAGACTCTTTCACAAAAATTTGCAGCCTGAAAAGTCTGAATTTAACACACCTTTACGTGTTTTGTGTCTTGACTCCTTACTTCTCATCGTCTGATCGAATTAAGATTTGAAGCTGACACATACAGCCTCGTTTTCAAACGCGGAAGTGCGCAGATCGATGCTAAAAGTGTCGTATTGGGATACCTGTATAGGCCTTAGCCAGTTAGAATGCAGGGGGTCGCTTTCGCAATCTGTTGTACTCTCCTGGTTTCCCTAGCTACTGAGACGAGGATAGGCCTGCCATTGTGGAGGGGCCGTCCCGCCAGGATCTGGCAAGGCTCCCTGGTTCATTCAGCCCCACGGAACTGACGGGGAAGCTCTGTGGTTGGCTGTGGATGACCACTTGAGTAGGGGCATTGCCAAAATCTGGTACAGCCCCCTGTCTCCTTGGTCAATCGCTGGCCTTGTGAGACAGCCAAGACTCCCGAGGGAGCACCCTACCAGATGTCTCTTGAGCCCCCCCCATGCCACCAAGAGCTCGCCTCACCCTTCACTGGCCTTCACCAAGAGGACCATGCACAGCACTCCTTCCTGCATTCCCCCAATGACTCAGAAGAGCGTCGGCTGCCTTTCAACATTGACAAAAAAGGCCACTTTTTTGGTGGCCCCCAAACGTAGTCTCTCTTTTTCAGAGACTGAAGCACACTGGGGCACTGGGGGTCTTCCCTGCCCAGTATACCATCGGGCCACAAAACCGCGGCACCCAGCCAATTTCTCTCGGGTGCCATGCAACCCACCAGACTTTTACTCTGTCGGGGCTTCAGGCCACGGCAGCCCATACGTGGTTCCGGCTTTCAACTGATCCTCATTGGGCCCCACTTCTATGGGTCCTTCTGCCTGATGCTTCACAGTTCCCATTCACATCAACCAGGAATACTCCCCAGGCACTCCACCAACTGTTGCCCCTTGTGTCGCCTCTACCGCCAGGTTGCCTGCTACGTGGGATAGCAAACACAAGCGCTCCTCTTTTTTATCCAGTGCCTCCAAACCTGCCAAGAAGCACCACTCCGATTGGCATGACCAGACTTCTGAGGCTTGCATATCGGCCTTTCAATCTATCAATATGGCCCTTACCTCCATCACCTTGGCAACAGACCAACTCTGGCCTCCACTGCCCTGGGCCCGTCCCTGACAGATCAACCACTCCTGCCCTCCTTGACCACAAGCCACCTCAGTGCCAACCCGGACACCGTACTGTCGCAACACTCAGGTGTTCCCTTATGAAAGTGGTCTATACCCCGTGGGACTGTGCAGGGCTTGGAACTGCATGCTGCCCTTCCCTGGCTGGACAACTGGTGGAATCTTCCGAGGAGGAAGAGGTCGATTCTATCAGCACTCTTACTCTGGCCGAGGGTCATCTCCGTCTTCTTGACATGACTGCTCCTCCTGTCAGAATACGTCACGCTTTGCATGCAAGGAGAACTCACAGTTCCCCCTGGACTTTGTAGCCTTAGCTCTCCTTAGCCTTGACAAGGGAATGAAAAGTACACAATATCCTGTATAGCGACTTCAACAAGAAAATCCAATGCCCTCAATGCCATACACATTTTCTAAGAGGGTGTTAAGACTCGTCTCAAGCAACTTCCACTCTTCGATGAAGACCTTTCTCTGGCAAGTTCATGGACCTAGGCTAAGCAGATTAATACAATGAAGAAGATATCCCTTCTTGAAAGCCCACCTTCAACGTTACAGGGACCTTAGCCACATAGTTCTTGACAAGCCAGACCCACAACATACTAAGCTATCCCAAGGTGCTCCTCCTTTCACCCACCACTCTCACAGTCGAGCCAATACCAGGCGTCCACCTGTACCAATCCCACGGCAAGCCAGACCTTTTGATGATGTGGGCGTCCATCGTGCACCCCTGTTCCTTCAGGGGACATTGCAAATGGCTGTTTAGCTGTGCCTGTGGCAACTCCAAGCCCGTAGGCAGCCGCCCTGATAGTCTGTAGGGCTCTGGACGGACATCACCTGGGACAGCTGGGTGCTTCTCTGTGATACTTTTCTGGGATTTCCATTGCAAACATCTGTAAAGCTGCGTGCTGGAAGTCCTCCTCTACATTCGTCTTCTGCTACCTGAAGGATGTCTTGCAAAGTGACTCCAAACATAACAAGATGATTCTACTATCGGTAGCGCGAAAGTCTAAGGGGCTGCCTGCAGACCAACTATAGGGACAGTTAGCTTTACGACCCTTACTTGCTAGATCTATTATTTATTGCTCCTTAGTACTGTGGAACACCATTAGAATGAGGCCCTTGTGGCCTCACAAATTACCTGGTTATAATAGTTCTCTTTGTATCGACAGTGCTCTCTCCTGTGTTCAACTGCACACCACTTAGTGCATATTATTGTGCTCATGACTAACACTTTCAGATTGTCACTGACCCTCCCTTCCAGGTAGGTGCCACTCTGCATATGTAGTGACTGTTTGGGTTGGAAGGGCACCATGGACCCCTCCTCCACATTAAGTGTGGGTCGGGTCTACTAGAGCATACCTACCCAAACAGTCCTCTCCCCTCCCCCGTCCTCCCCGTGTTTGGCTCCAACCCTTTTCAGTTGCTTCCAAAAAGGACAATCATGGTGGCAAGACCACATTGCATCGTGGGAGTACAGGGTGCACCACCGATGATCACATCTTTTCGGTGAATAATTAATAGGCGCATGGGAGATTTGCTTATGTAGTTATTGTTTGGGTAGGTTTGCTCTTGTAGACCCGACCCCCACTTAATGTAGGGGAGGACTGTTAGATATCACAGCTTTTGGATGTAGCTTGTGACCATTATGTGTGACAAATATTGCCAAACTGACAACAACAGTTTTGGACATCCTGAAGTCCCAAATCAAAACTCAGCCATAAGAATAAGTAATAATATCATTAAAATGCAGTTATTTAAGGGGATGTTGGGGTATCTCCACTCTCCACTCAACTGAACTTAATTATTCGACACAAAACAGCCAATGTCAGCGTGGAATTTTGTGTCATCAGTTGCAGAGTTACACTTTTCTCATATGTAGACTTTTTTGGGTTGTAGATATAATACATTGTTTAATTTATGTATTATTTCTTCCTTGTAGGTCCTTTCCACTGTCCTACAAGTAAAAAAGCATCATTGTACAGGAGGAATGCCTTTAGTTCAAGTGACTTAAATATGCAGCAAAGCATCAGTGATCTTAGAGAAAAGAACCATGCTTCACCCAGACCTGCCTCACTGGATCCAAGTTCATGCAAAATATTTCAAGGTAATCTCATTTTAATGTCTCTTGAAAGACTTGAGCCAAAATGTTAGTTAATGTTACATTTGATTTCTAACTAATGTCTAAAATTTGTTAGCTTTTCCACAGTCCACTGCATTCATCCTATCCAAAAAGTTGCTAAATATGCAAATTCCTTCGCTAAAAACTTGATCAACCGTAGTGTGCCCTCTCAGCCCATGATGCATAGTGGCGCCACAGCCACCATGTTCGTCCTATTTTTTTTGGCGTGATTCTTAATGAATATGTCAATTTTTGGCATCTTCAAGTTTTCCGAGTTTCTGTTCACTAGCACATTCTTGTGTTAATTTGATCAACCATAACATATTCAACAAAAGTGTACATTCAATATTTGGTGTATTTCTTATTTGTGTGTGTCTTTTTTGTGGTGTTCTTCTTCCCCCGTATGTGTGCATTCTCGTAGGTTTTCACATTGACTCTTCGTAGTTGTAATACCGAGCGATAGAAAAAGGGTCAACGTCACAACCCTGGAATTGTTGCGGGTTATGCGTGGAGGTGTGTGCAATCCAATTCCGCATTCCCCGCTCTCCCCTTTAGACCAACAGGAATCAATCTATGGAAGATTGAGTGGCGTTCCCTGCTATGCTTGTGATTCCATGCTAATTCCTACTGCCACTAACATCCTCTGTCCAGTTCAGATTTACCCTATGCCACACTTCAAGGGTCTGAGCCATCGCCCCAGTGAGTGCACTACACCTTGGACAACCATCCTCAGTCATTCGTCATCTGGGGCATCCAGGTGTGGGTAGACATGCTACCGGGCTGCTTATCATTCGCTACCTGCTTATCATCCAGTGTGGCCCTGGTGGATGCAGTGTGGGCCACTCAGACATGATGCAGACCACAACATGGGTAGCAGGTCTGCTTTGCCACAAAGTTCTCTGTATGCTGTATGTTGCTCCGTTGTTTACCTCCCACCCCTATGCCTGTGCCTTATACCAACCATTCTTCAGGGCATCCAGGCATGCAGTAGACACTCACTCTACTGGCCAGCGGATGTTGTCTTCTGGAGTTTCCTCTGGAGGGTACAAGACTGAGTCACGCATACTCAGCGTGGGCCACGGCTCAAACAATAGTTCTGTTGCCACGCTACACATCAGCCCGCCGGCTGACACCCATGACTCCTGTGCCAGGGACACCTAGGCATGAAACAAAGAAGTGCACTATCTGAGCCAAAACCCCACCATTCTCTGGGGCTATCCCAGTGAGTATGATGTTAGACTACGTACAACCAGTCTACCATGTGCAACTTTCCCACTACTAGTGCCTGTTCACGGGGGCCTGCAGGAGATGAGTCCACACCTCACCTGGAGACCCCCCATGCCTGAGCCCACCAATGTCTGATACTTTGTCCCTGGGGGTACCCACACATGAAACAGACAACAGTGATCTCCAGGTAGTCTCCCCTCCATTTCTGGCCCCTACCCTGGTGATTACGCCACTCAAATCTGGGTGTCCAAATCCACCAAACTTTACACCGTCATGGATTCTACACCCTCCTTGTCATCCAATTAGCCAGGGTTTCTCAAAGGGTTCCCCAGAAGTATATTTGTGAATCTATTCCTGTTACTACCCATCACATGCGTTCTCCTCTACAGATTATTCCACACAGCCTCGCCATGCCCTGCTCACTGTCCAGGAACAAGTTTCTTCTGACATGGGTGTTTCCAAAGTCTCTGTACTGTTACTGTTTAAAGGTCAGACAAATGTGGACTTTCAGTGAGCTCTTCCTTTTGTTGTGATTGTGCCTTGGGTCACCTCTTCTGACTGCGACGTGTGTGATTGAAACAAAGAGGAGTACTCGGTAAAGCCCTGTCTGCTTTTCAATTTAACGCTTGTGTTCATTGAGCCAGAGAACAAATTGAGATATTGAGGTGTTTTGTCTCCACTGAGGTTCCTTTGATTAATTGGAATATTAACACCTTGCTCCCGTCAGGCAGTACTATTATGAGTCTTATTTTCTTGGAGCAATGTCCTATCTTTCAACACTCAATTTTCAACTGTCAATTTTCATTTTTTTTTAATACATGCAGCCTGACTTTAATCCCCCGTGCATTACCACTGAAGTACTCCAACACAGGGATGCCAGCAGCCACTCCAGACAAAGGACAAGGCTCACTTTCTGTTTTCCAGGACTGCTTCACACACACACCTTTATTTCCTCCCGTGGCAGAAATAATAATAGTAAGACAAGTCTAAAAGACATATATGTATGCCAGAAGAGGTGGCAACACCTTAAACACAAAGCTTGTGTTAGGCGTGCCCTTAAACAAAACATACATACATGTTAATGTAAGAAATAACAAATAAATGGAGCTCTAAGCAATTATAGAGTAGTTGTTGAAGATGGACTATGAAAAGAAAAGGTTCAGTTAATATTCATGGATACAAATATGATCAGAAGTAGTCATTGTGACAATGAAAATTAAATTGCTTTACATGAGAAAGATCTTAAGTTGCCGCTTAAAGATGGTATATGATCTTGAAAATCTTAGTGAGGATGGTAGAGTATTCCAAAGTTTGGGACCAGAGTATTTAATGTTAAATTGAAAGGCAGAAGTTCTGTGTTGCTTCAACATTTTTTGCATATTGTGGAATTATGGACTGTTGCTAAGAACAACTTACATGTGACTTAGCTAGTTTTCTGACAATAACTCTTTGCTGGATCTAGGCTAAATGGAGTCTTTCTTCGCAGTCTCTGATTTATTTCATCTCTCTCTCTTATCGGCATACCTTCGTTTTTGCACTTGAAAGAGATCTCTCCCTGTTGTCCAGCCCCCACTACAGTTGTACTAGGGGCCCCTGAACAAAAAGTGTCATACCTCTATCTTCAATTAATTCCCGAGGTCTTCTTGCCTATCTACATTTACCCATTGAACTATAGTTCAGGAATGGGTGTGGTGAGCTTCCTGCTTGATAACATAAATTAAATTCCAGTTAACCCCATATTGGAAAACCTTTTATAAATTCAACTGTGGTCACGACAGATTTGGAAGACAACATGGGAACAATTCTTGTCCTTTTTCCCTTGCTCCCTGGCTGCACACACCAGTCAAATCCTGCTCTGCCCTCTTCTCAACCCTCGCAGAAGATGCAGAACTGAAGGAAATGTTGATACTGCCTCCATTCTCTCGGGTCTGATGTCAATGACTGCAATGTTTCTCAGGTGGCCTCAAGGCTGGAACTGGTAGGTACTGCCTACAGTAATAAGGTTCTGGCAAACTTCTGACCAGTGAGATGAGCACCTGTGTCTGCTATTTTGGCTATCCACTCTGATTCATGTCTGCCCTTTTGTTCAACCAAACTCATCAAATTCCAATCTTCGTTGATAACTATTACATGTACATATTTTCCTTTCATAGTAACTCAACCCCTGCCATATTCAACCCAGGCTTCGTTGGTGGATCTAAAATTGTCTTCACATTCCAGTCCACCTGTGCGATTACAAGTTCCTCTACTTTATCTGCGACAGAGGAACCTCTGAGTTCAACCCTGCCACTCTCATTGTCCTAGGGGT